ATTGAGGTGTATGTGGATGATGTGATCATTAAATCCAGAACACAAGAAGGCCACGTGCAAGATCTGAGAAAGTTCTTTGAGCGTCTGCGCAGGTATGATTTGAAATTGAATCCAGCCAAATGTGTATTCGAAGTTCCATCTGGGAAACTTCTGGGGTTTATAGTCAGCCGGAGGGGTATTGAGTTAGATCTAACAAAGATAAAGTCTATTCGGGATTTACCACCTCTGAGAACCAAGAAAGAAGTCATGAGTCTGCTAGGGAGATTGAATTACATCAGCAGGTTCATTGCTCAGCTTACTACCACGTGTGAGCCCATATTTAAGTTGATGAAGAAAGATGCAGTGATCAAATGGACAGATGAATGTCAAGAGGCTTTTGATAAGATCGAAGAATATCTGTCAAATCTGCCAGTGTTGGTTCCACCCGAGCCAGGAAGACCTTTGTTCTTGTATCTGACAGTCTTGGAAAATTCCTTTGGTTGTGTCCTGGGGCAACATGATGTGATCGGGAAGAGAGAGAAGGCCATATACTACTTGAGCAAGAAGTTTACCATTTATGAAACCAAGTATACTTTGTTGGAAAGAACTTGTTGCGCCCTAACTTGGGTCACCCAGAAGCTTAGACATTATCTTTTGGCCTACACCACATATCTCATAACTAGAATGGATCCTCTGAAGTACATATTCCAGAAACCAATGCCCACGGGAAGGTTAGCAAAATGGAAAATCCTGCTCACTAAGTTCGACATTGTCTATGTCACCCGGACAACGATGAAAGCTCAAGCCTTGGCGGATCATCTAGCTGAGAACCCGGTTGATGATGAATACCAACCCCTAAGTACTTACTTTCCGAACAAGGAAGTAAATTCAGTTGAGGTAATTCCAGAAGACACCAATGCTTGGAAAATGTTCTTTGATGGAGCTGTAAATGCAAAAGGTGTCGGGATTGGGGCAATTTTGGTTTCACCCACCGGTCAGCACTACCCGGCCACAGCCCGGCTTCGGTTCTTCTGTACCAACAACACCGCTGAGTATTAAGCCTGAATTATGGGCATGAATATGGCAGTTGATCTGGATGTGGAAGAAATGTTAATCATGGGAGATTCAGATTTGATCATTCGGCAAGCCCAAGGTGAATGGGAAACTCGAGATATCAAGCTTATCCCATATAGGCAACATGTGGAAGATCTTAGCAAACGATTCAAGTCCGTCGAGTTTAGGTATATTCCTCGATTCCACAACGAGTTAGCTGATGCATTAGCTACTTTGGCCTCAATACTGTCGTATCCGGGCAATGTCCATATTGACCCGCTGGAAATCCAAATTCGAGAGAGGCATGGTTATTGTAATGTAATTAAAATAGAACCAGATGGTCAGCCATGGTATCATGATATCAAAAGGTTTATGAAAATAAATGAATATCCCGAACATGCTAGTGGAGACCAAAAGAGAACCATTAGAAGGCTTGCCAGCGGTTTCTTCTTGAGCGGAGAAATCTTGTACAAAAGAACTCCTGATTTGAATCTCTTGAGGTGTGTAGATACCCTAGAAGCTGAAAAGATCATGAACGAAGTGCATTCGGGNTCGACCTGATTCCTCTATAACCCGGGATATGTAGGCTGTCCAAAATCAGGACTCGGTTGTACTCTATCTTTTATTTCTTTTCCTTTTGAATAATGGTTTGGTCAAAAATTAGTCACGTGGCTCACCTAGTCTTTGCCTGAAAAACTCTTCATGTTTCCAAGCAAAGAGGGGCAGCTGTGAGCACCTAATTTTTGACTATATATATATATATATATATATAGAAAAAATTATTAATAATATAAAAGTTCAATTTTTACTATTAGTATTATTTTTATTATTATTTTTATCTTTATTTTTAAATAAAATGAATTAAAAACCAAAAATAAATAAAAATTAATTCTTTTTAAAAAAAAAAAAATTTCGGATGGGAATTAAAAAATAGGAAAAGTAGAAATATAAAATTAAAAAGTAAAAGTAAAAGTAGGTAGAAATTATTTAATAAAAAAAGTAAAAGAAAGTGGAAAATTAAAAAAATAAAAGTAAAAGAATGTGGAAATTTAAAAAATAAAAAGTGAAATAAAGTTGGAATTAAAAAATAAAAGTAAGGGTATCTGATTTTTTTTAAAAAAAAGTAAAAGTAAGTGAGAAATAAAAAAAAAAAGTAAAATAAGTGGGAAATAAAAAAAGTAAAGTAAAAAAGTGGGATTTTAAATATATTAAAAGTAAAAAAAAGTGAGAAATTAAAAAATAAAAGTAAAGGAAAGTGGGGAATTATTTTTTAAAAAAAATAAGAAAAATGAGAAATGGAAATTCTTTTTAATTAAAAATAAAAAATAAATAAAAAATAAAAAATAAAAATCTGAAAATTTCGAAATTTTTTTCTATAAATAGAAGAGAAATGTGATGAAAAAAAGAGGGGAAGAAAGGAAAAAATAGGGAGGAAGGAATTGAGAAAAATTTATTTTCTTCTTCTAGGATAAGGAAATTTCTACTCGTGTCATTCTTTTTTCGTGTTTCTTTAAAAATAAAACATCAGCTTCACCACCCCAAAGCTACCAGCCCTTGACCACTTTTGAGCCATCATTAACCAAAAAAAAAAAAAAAAAGCTCCAAAAATAGCCACTAAATCTTCAATTTTGCAAGGTCGATTGAGGTTGAAAGTTGAGATTTTTCGCTTGAAGTTTTCCGTGGTCCGAAGGGTCCAGTTGAGAGCTATCCGATCATTGAGTGGTTGTTATTTAAATCCACAATTATCAATACAAAGGTTCACTTCTCTTTCTATTTTGTTTTCTCATTAATGTTCTGGGTCACTCTGTTTTAATTTAACTTGGAGTATGATATGGTCGAGTTCGCATCTGAGTGTGCTAAAATTAATTTGTTATCATGTTGAGTATTTGTTAAGATTAATTTATTGTCCTTTTTGGTAGTTCATATGGTTAATTTTATTGATGAATATGTATTAAATCGTTACTTTTCTTGTTCATTCAATGAAGTAATGGCTTTCCATTTTAGCATGCTTTAGTTTCATTTTGATCTCCTATCTTAGTGACTAAATTGGTTCTACTCGTATCTATCTATTCCTGCCATAAATTTAGTCTAGTTTCAAATATTTGTTAACAGTAAAATTATAAGAGATTAGGTTGGGCCATGATTGGTGTAAGACTTTAATTGGACTTCCTTAGCGTATTTATGGGCTAATTGTTGCACATGACCAAAAACAAATAAACATTCACAAGCTAGCCAACTTTTCCATAATTAATTTACTTCATTTCCTCTGTAACAATATCCATACCTCATGACCTTACAATAATGTCAAAATTAGCAATTGAATAATATTCGAACACCGTAGCTTGATTTAGGCGCGATTAATAATAAATCATCGTGACTATGGGTACGGTTCCCGTGGCATAGTCATGATACGTAAACCCCAATTCAAGTGCATGTTTCACGCGACTTGTCCATAACTTCAAATAATAATAAAAATAAACATGTTGTAAATCGCGGGTGCGTTTCACGTGACACAGTTTGTAGTGTGTACCAAAACGATAAGTGTGCGACATCGCGACTTGTTCAAATAAATTCCATAAAATTAAAAAACGGTAAAAGACAAAAATGCACAATGGGTTTAAAACATGTAATAAATCAGATAATTACGCCAAGTATTAATTGTTAAGTGACTGTGCTAAAACCACAGAATTCGGGAGTGCCTCACACCTTCTCCCAGGTTAACAGAATTCCTTACCCGGTCTTCTGTGTTCGCAGACCAAAAATAAGAGTCAAATTTCCTCGATTTGGGATTCTAAAATAAATCGGTGACTTGGAACACCATAAATTATTCCAAGTGGCGACTTTGAATAAATAAATAATCCCATTTCGAATAATGTCACTTAAATTGAAAAAACTCCCATATCCCTTATCCCCTCGGAAAAAAGGAGGTGTGACAATAGTAATTTTAAAAAATAATGGGCCAAGAAGAACAACAAGTGATTTAAATAAAAGAAATTTGAGAGATTTTGAATTTACTGATTATAGGGGTAAATTTGTCTCGATAGTATAACGGTAGGGGTAAATTTGGCCCTATAGTATAACATAGGTTAAATGTAGACAATATATGAAAGTAGAGGGGTATATTTGGCCCTTTTCCCTTTTTGTAAATAGTAGAGTCAACCCTCTCTATAGCAGTTTCGTTTGTTCCGATATTTTTTGGCTTTTATTGTGAATGGTTGTTATAAACCTGTAACAACATTTGACGTTTAAATATTTTTTGGCTGTTATAGATAAAAATTATCCAAAAATTAATTATTTTTTATTTTTTAATGTTACATATAAAAGATAAGAAAATTATTCAAATTTACAATCTCAAAAAATATGTCTATTTCACTAGTTAAATATTGAAGAAAGTCAATATATTATTAATAAATTTATAACTAAAAGTATAAAGATTTAAACTCTAAGGCAGACATTTTAAAGCTACCTAAAAAAAATTCTTTCAAGATTAATGGAAAAACTTTGTAATTGTAGCTTGTTTCGTAGATTTCATTATCTTACTAGCGATATAACGTTTGAATTGGCGAAGAGACATGTTCAAATTTTCAACAAAAAGGTATCAAATAGCTTCTCTCGAAGACAATATAAGAGCTTAATAGTTAAATTTTATATCTAAATATTTTTTAGAATTTGTACAATAGAAAAGATATTATGTGTAAATCTCCAAAGCTTATATCTTATGCAAGATAGAATCTTTGTTTAATGGAAAAGATTGTGTATATTTTTAGATTTTTAGTAATCTTAAAATTCTACATAGTTGCTATAGAAGGTTAATTTTACAAAGAGCGTTCTGCTATAAATATGACCGTCGGTGTTACACGTAAAAAAATTGTTATAGAGGTAAAATATAATTTAAAAAATCCGATCCGGCTAAGGGATGTTATATAGGGATAGTGGGGCTGACTGTACTCCCCAGTCCCCATTTCCTATGGTGACGATTGAAATCGTTAATACAGCATTTTCATCAACAAAACCGCGCCAAAGCGGAGCTTAGAAAGCGGGAAAAAGAAGACCATGGCGGAGCAGCAGCTTCTAGGGATGGGCTTTCCGGGAGACTTAGTCGCTCAAGCACTAACCATTACCGGCGGCGATATCGTTAAAGCCACCGAGTGGATTCTCAGCCACCGCAACAACCACCACAAGGATTCCGGCGAAGATTCTTCCAATTTCAACCCCCCAATTTCTCCATCCTCTGATTCCCCTAATACTACTACTACCGCCGCCCATGATCATCATCCTTTCCAGCCCAAAATCGATCAATTCTTTCAATTTCCCTCTAAACCCCTCAGACCTACCCCCGTATCAACACTTAAAGTCTTAAACCCTAAGGAGGGGGTGACCCCTGAAGAAGAAGATAACGAACCTCAATTACTCCGTTTAACAAAGCGTCCTAAATTAGTAGAAAATGAGCAAGGGAAAAAACATGAACCAGCTCCGCCGCCTCATGAACCGTTGGCCGAACGAATGCGACCATGGACCCTTGACGAGGTTGTTGGTCAAGACCACATTTTGGCGCCAAAATCCCTTCTTCGATCAGCCATTGATTGAGGCCGTATCCCTTCAATACTTCTGTGGGGTCCACCAGGTACTGGCAAAACCTCCATTGCTAGAGCCATAGTTAACACTTGCTCTGTTTCTCAAGCTGGTGGTGGTAATAATAATAATACATATCGGGTTGTTTCCTTATCCGCTGTTACTTCCGGTGTTAAGGATGTTAGAGATGCGGTTGATGAAGCAAGAAGACTGAAAAAGAAAATCAACAAGAGGACTATTTTGTTTATTGATGAGGTCCATAGGTTCAATAAGGCCCAACAAGATTCCTTTTTGCCGGTTATTGAAGATGGCAGTGTCATTTTCATGGGAGCAACTACGGAGAATCCATCGTTTCATTTGATTACGCCGTTATTGTCCAGGTGCAGAGTCTTGACTCTCAATCCCTTAAAACCCCACCACATTGCTGCCCTACTTAGGCGCGCCGTGGCTGATTCTGATAAAGGGCTGTGCTTTTCTATGGGAGAGATGATGAAAATCGAAGTAAATGATGAGTGTATAGAGTTTCTTTCGACTAATTGTGATGGTGATGCTAGGGTAGCATTGAATGCCTTAGAAATTTCAGCTACCACTGCTGCTGCACGGACGCGAATGGCGAGAAGATCAACCGGGGAATTAGAGGAAAACACAGGAAATGCTGACGAGTCTTGTTTGTCTGCAGTTATAACTCTGGATGATGTAAAAGAAGCATTGCAATGTAAGCATTTGGCTTATGACAGAGCAGGGGATGAACACTATAATCTTATCAGCGCACTTCACAAATCTATGAGAGGAAGTGATGCTAACGCTTCCATTTATTGGTTGGCTAGAATGTTGGAAGGGGGCGAAGAGCCTCTTTACATAGCGCGCAGGCTGGTCAGGTTTGCTAGTGAAGATGTTGGGTTAGCCGATCCATCGGCTCTTTGCCAGGCTGTCGCTTGCTACCAAGCTTGTCATTTTATTGGCATGCCCGAGTGCAATGTTATCCTTGCTCAGTGTGTTGCTTACTTGGCCTTGGCTCCTAAGTCTATTGCCGTCTATAGAGCAATAGGGGCAGCTCAAAAAGTGGTAAGGGAATCAGTTGGACAAAATGAAGGGGTGCCCCTTCATCTTAGGAATGCACCAACTAAGCTAATGAAAGATCTTGGTTATGGAAAGGACTATATTTATCCTCCTGACAATCCAGACTCATCGCCCCAGACTTACTTGCCACCATCTCTTCAAGGTTATAAGTTTCTTGATTGGCCAAGTGTTGCAGAAAATGATCGACGATGAGAATCACATGACAATGTTATGGCTTTCTGAAAATAGCTGCTTTTGCGGGTTAGCACTGTTTCTTCTCCCTTTTGTCTTGATTTCTCTTGTTTTGGGAATTGTTAGTGATCAGAGAAATCTTTAGCAATTGTGAGCCACTCTGTAGTTACTTTTTGGGAACTTTTTGATTTTGTTGTGAGTGGAGGAGGAGAAAAGAAACTTACTGGTTTTGAGGGATTGAATGATTCCATTTTGGTTATAGTTTTGTCAGAATCTATGCATCCCCTCTCTTTTTTTATTGTTCTTGTTTTTGGGCTACATCTGGATAAAATACATATTTACTTGATGAGATCTTGTGAGGACATGGGAGGTTTACGTTGCAGCTTCTATCTTTATATTTACAAAGGATTGTTCACTTGCTATCTCAAAAACTTGACTTGAAATTTGCCTAGATGGAGATGAATAATTTCTCCATATAATGTCCAGTGGTCGAGCTTTGGTACCTCACTAACCGAATGAATAATAGTGATGCCCAAAATTCAGAGCTCCTTTTTTGTGTCATATGATGTGAGACGTATTGAAAGACTAAATACTTAGTAATATATATCTTTCTGAACTGCTATGTTAACCACTCAATTTGCATGGGTTAATATTATGTCTTTCTGAGCAATTTATTTGAAAAGGCGTTTGCTGACTGAAGACATTATAAATTGAGATGAGCTTGGGCATTGTGATATCTTCTGTCATCCGGGATAGAAAGATATTAACTGCCATGTCTTAAACAAAGTATATGTGAAGTTGATATCTAACTTTGACCATACATAACTCAATTGATCATTAACTACTTAATCAAGCTTTTCTTTGAGCTGTCTTTTAGGGACTACTTAGCAGTGGATTCCGATTAGTTTGGAAACCTGTCTCTGACTATTATCAATTCCCTGTAAACCTGTTCCATGTTAATTCTCTATTGTGTGCTAAGCCCAAGTTGGAAGATAGAAACCAAGCACCCCACCTGTTCACTACTTATATTCTTATTTGCATACCTTTCTGTCATTTCTCCACATAGAGCGGATTCATCAACAATATCCATTACTTGATCTGGTATTGACGAAAAGGTGGAGATTCACATTGTCATCAAATAGTTTATCTGTGGGTCGTTTTCCAGTAAAAATCTCCAGCAATAGGATCCCATAATTATACAAATCTCCTGTTGTCTACTAGATCATAGAAAATGAAAACATTTCGAGGGAAAAAAATATATGGTCAAAGTCCGCAAAAAAAATATGTTACTGCATTCAAGACTTGACAGACAGCTAAAAATACATTAGGATGTTATCATCTACATTAAGATAGAGAGTTTTTCTCAAAAAAATATGTTACTGCATTCAAGACTTGACAGAGCCAAAAATACATTAAGCTGTTATCGTCTACATTAAGATAGAGAGACGTTTTTGTCTCTATCTTTCCTGAGCCGAGGGTCTATTGGAAACAACCTCTCTACCTTCTTAAGGGATAAGGTGTACGTACACTCTACCCTCCTCTCTGTCTCCACTTGTGGAATTACAAATAATTATATATCATAATTACAATCATAATAGACTCATCTAATTAATTAAATCAATACTTTAACAAAAATTTCAAAATTCGCCCTAAAAGGTCGACACGGGCCCACGTCTCGGAATCGGGTAAAAGTCACAAAATCCGAAAGCCTATTCACTCACGAGTCTAACCATATCAAATTTACTAAAATCCGACACCAAATGGTCCTCCAAATCCATAATCCAATTCCCCAAATCCCAAGCCTCCAGCTTCCAATTTACACCTTAAATACACACTAGCTAGGTGGAAAAATACATGGGAAGCATGATTATTGATTAAAAATAAGCACAAGGGACTTGCCTCAAGAAATCTCTTGAAAATGCTCTCAAAAATCGCCCTAAACCGAGTTGCAAAGTCCAAAAAAATGACAAAAATCGCGAAGCCCTTCGGTTTTAACCACTGCCTAGGTATTTCCGCATCTGCGGAGCCTGGGCTCGCACCTGCGGGTGCGCTTGTGCGGCCAAAAAGTGCGCATCTGCGCAAATCACTTACCCCCTCTGCCTTTGCATCTGCGATGAAAGGGCCGCACCTGCGCGTGCGTGCCTGCGGAAATCCCTTCCGCTTCTGCGGACCTTGTGCACCTGCGATGACCCTCTCGCAGATGCGGAATTCACCTCGCACCTGCGACCCCTGGCACTCCTCCATTTTTCCGCTTATGCGCTTGCCTCCCCGCATGTGCGATCACACACCTGCGGTCTCTCCACCGCAGGTGCGAAAATGATAGATGCCTGAAGACTTCAACAGCAACTCAAATCCAACTTTTGATTCGTTAAGCACTCGAAACTCACCCGATGCCCCCGGGATCTCAACCAAACATACCAATCAATCCTAAAACACCATACGAACTTAGTCGAGCTCTCAAATCACATCAACTAACGCTAAAAATCATGAATCACCTTCCAATTCAAACTTAAAGAACTTGAAACTTCAAATTCCTACAACCGATGTCGAAACCTATCAAACCACGTCCGAATGATCTTAAATTTTGCACACAAGTCATATTCAACATTTCGGACCTACTCCAACTTCCGGAATCGCATTCCGACCCTGATATCAAAAAGTCCACTACCGGTCAAAATCTTCAAAAATTCGACCTCTACCATTTCAAACCTAAATGAGCTACAGACCTCCAAAACACAATCCGGACATGCCCTTAAGTCCAAAATCACTCAACGGAGCTAACGGAACCGACGAAATTCTATTCCGGAGTCGTCTTCACACAGTTCAGACTACGGTCAAAATCCTAAGACTTAAGCTTCCGTTTTAGGGACTAAGTGTCCAAAATCACTTCGAATCACCCGATAATTGAATTCAACCACGCACGCAAGTCAAGGCACATAATACAAAGCTGCTCAGGGCCTTATGCCGCCGGACGAAATTTAAATTCTCAAAACGATTGACCGGGTCGTTACAGGTTTGTTGTGGTGGCGGTTGTTGTTTGCATCTAAATGACCGTAGAGAGGCTAAGAACATGATCTTTCTTGGGATGTGGCGACATTTTTGTGCAACTTAGTGTTGTGCCAAATTTCAATTTAAACCAAATCGAGTAGTATCCAACAAAAATCAATTCGTTCAAGCTCAACAAGTCCTGTTCAACTTCTATGCAGGCACTCTAGTTTACACTTTCTTCACGATCACTTCAGAACCAAAACATGATCAAGTCAATGAGGTGGGCTTATTAAATCCATTACATGGAAAAGAAAAAGAATAAAAAAAGATAAAATAAATCCTGACTGTTACTTGAATATAAGGCCTATGAAGTTTTCATATTTTATACAAAAAAATAATAGGGTTGGGTTGTGGGCGATGCACAAATACTTCAGCCATTTATCGGAAAGTTAATGAAACGTAGCATTAGAGAAATATATGTTCATAACCTATTTCCTTATATGCATTCTATATAGATTGTGATCTGAGCCAGACAGCAGGAAAAAAGTGCTGAAAACAATGACAAATTCGACTGTCACCTACCATAAATTAGAATATATGGTTCTACATAGTCTTCGTCGCAATTTTACACTATCTTGCGAGGTCACTACAATCTTAAAGAAATTCAGTATATAGTGTGTAATCCTGAAAGGTCTGATATAATGGAGGTGCTACCCTTCTCAACTTGGCAGAATTTCATCACCCAATGACCCCATAAATTACTCACAAGTTGCTTCATAACCCCAGGAGAGCTTAGTGGCCAAGACAAATGAAAGCAACATTACAAACAACAAATTTGCAGAGCTAAAGCAAGCAGCAGAGCGGATCTACACAGGGATAGGCTCAGGAGCTGGATCTGAGGGAGTTCCGCTAGTGCCATTGAGGACGGTCACATTACCATCAGAGTCCACGTCCACAATTACTGAATCACCTTCTTTGATCTCACCTGCAAGCATCTTCTCGGCCATGCTGTCTTCCAGCAGTCTCATAATAGCTCTCCTCAACGGTCTTGCTCCGTAGCTTGGGTTGTACCCTTCGTCAACCACCCTGTCTCTAAACCTCTCCGTCACTTGAAGTTCTATCTCCTTATTTTTCAACCTCTCAAAGACCTCCTTAAGCATGATATCAGCTATCTCCTTCACCTCTAACTTAGTGAGCTGACGGAATACAATCATCTCATCCAATCTGTTCAAGAACTCTGGCCTAAAGTACTGTTTCAACTCCTCAGTCACCAAGCTCTTGATACGGTTGTAACTGCTATCCTTCTCGTCATAATCTAGATCAAAACCTATACGACGGCCTCCTTTCTCTATCACACTGCTTCCGACATTCGATGTCATGATGAGAAGTGTATTCTTGAAGTCGACAGTTCTGCCCTTGCTGTCTGTCAATCTTCCATCTTCAAGAATTTGAAGCATCATGTTGAAGACATCAGGATGAGCCTTCTCAATCTCATCAAAGAGCACAACAGTGTAAGGTCGACGCCTCACAGCTTCAGTCAGTTGACCACCTTCAGTGTAACCAACATAACCAGGGGGTGAACCAATGAGTTTAGAGACAGTGTGTCTCTCCATAAACTCACTCATATCAAGCCGGATCATTGCTTCTTCAGAACCAAAGTAGTACGCTGCTAAAGCCTTGGCCAGTTCTGATTTCCCAACACCAGTTGGACCAGAAAAGATGAAACTGGCAATAGGTCGGTTGGGATTCTTGAGCCCAACACGAGCACGTCGGATAGCGCGACTAATGGCTTTCACAGCTTCATCCTGGCCAATGATTCTGGTGTGAAGTGTTTCTTCCATTTTTAAGAGGCGATCAGATTCATCTGTTGAAACCTTCTCGACAGGGATGCCAGTCCATGAAGACACAATGTGCTGAATATCTGCCTCTGTAACGAGCGGACCTGTATCTCCAGCCTCAGATTCAGCCTTGCTCATCTCTTTGTTTTTGTCTATCAGGGCTGAGATCTGTGCCTTAAGATCCATTTCTCTATCACGCAGCTCCCCCGCCTGTCAAATGCATTGAGAGATACAAGATTATGTAATGTAAACTCTGCAATTACACTATTTAGCATGAAAAGCAGTTCAATGCTTTTACTAAGGAAGAAAGCAGTTCACAGGAATTTTATGCACAGGATCAGAGAAGACCAATCACCTTTTCAAAATCTTGACCTCGCACAGCTTCATTTTTCTCCTTAGTAATCTGACGGAGTTCTTTCTCGAGCTCTCTTGCTTCCTCAGGGAGCTAGATCATATCAAGAAAACGGGTCATGACTCCATTAGGAAAAGAGGGCAGGGAAAGGTAGATTAAGAGAGTACTCTA